TAGTCATTTTTATTTTTACTGTTGAACCCAGCCTAATCATTCATTTTTACTGCTATTCCCAGCATAATCATCCTTATTTTTACTGTTAAACTCAATATAATCATTTTTGTTTTTGATGTCAATCCCAGCATAATCATCTGAATTTTACTGTTAAACCCAGTATAACCATTTTTGTTTTCTTTTTTGAATTGTGGTGACCAAAACTGGATGCAGTATTCCAGGTGTGGTCTTACTAAAAATTTATAAAGCAGTACTAATACTTGAAGGGACACAGTGGCTCAGTGGCTAAAACGCTGAGCTTGTCGATCAAAAGGTCAGCAGTTCAGTGGTTCAAATCCCTAGTGCCACTTAAAGGGGGGAGCTCCCATTACTTGTCCCAGTTTCTGCCAACCTAGCAGTTTGAAAGCACGTAAAAAATGCAAGTAGAAAAATAGGGACCACCTTTGGTGGGAAGGTAACAGTGTTCCATGCGCTTTTGGCATTTAGTCATGCTGATCACATGACCATGGAGACATCTTCAGACAACGCTGGCTCTTCGGCTTTGAAACGGAGATGAGCACTGCAACCTAGAGTGAGGAATGACTAGCACATATGTGCAAGGGGAACCTTTACTTTTTACTAATATTTGATGTGATTTTGATTCTATGCCTCTGTTTATACAATCAAGGATTGTGTTAGCTTTTTTGCCTGCTGCTGCACACTGCTGGCTCGTGTTTAAGTGACGTCCATTAGGACTCCAAGGTCCTTCTCACAGTTCCTATTTTTGAATCAAGTTTCGCCTGATCTGTACTTGTACCTTTGGGTTTTTTTGTGACCTCCTTTATGGTTCCCTATAAATGATCAATTTTGTAAATTATATTTTCTCAATCTATGATCCACAAATTTTGCTGAACCTTTGTTCAGCACATTGGAAGATAGTGGTACCATGCGTCTTCTCAATTCACAATGCTTGCAAGAAAGACAATCATAGAAACAATATTCAAATGCGGGGAGACAAAAACCCACCAAGGTCTCTGCTTTTAAAACTGCTGGATGTTTCTATCCTAGTTCCATCCCTTTCTGGAAAAGAATGAATTTTGCAATCTTTCCAAGGAGAAACTATACTTGGACCAGAATGGAGATGTAGCAGCAGATCTGAACATCATGAGCTGAGTGGTTCTCCCTGATGAGGATTTAACTGAAGAGAAACTGGAAGGAAGAAACTTATTATCAACCAAGATGCTCTCACATGGCTGAAGTTGCTTAACAAGGTGTGAGAAACTTTGGTGTCTTTTCTCCGTTTTCCACAGCCTTAGAACAAATTTCAAGTGAGCTAAGCTTAGTCATCTAGCTGGATGATGTTCTCTGCTAATTAAATGAGGGGAGTAGAAACCTTATTGTGTTCTTAGACTGCTTGGGAGCTTCAGCACTATTGCCAAGGTGCCCTTCATATCAGTGGTGGGATTCAAAAACTTTTACTACCAGTTCTGTCGATGTGATTTGGTGGGCGTGGCTTGGTGGGCATAGCAGGGGAAGGATATTGTAAAATCTCCATTCCCTTCCCACTCCAGGGGAAGGTTACTGCAAAATCCCCATTTCCTCCCGAACAGCTGAGACTCAGAGGCAGAGAATAGATGGGGGCAGGGCCAGTCAGAGGTGGTATTTACCGGTTCTCTGAACTACTCAAAATTTCCGCTACCAGTTCTCCAGAACTGGTCAGAACCTGCTGAATATCACCTCTGTTTCAGATGCTATAGTACACAACAATGTTTTAAGATGATTCAGCATTGTCCAACATGGGATGCTGAGTGACTTGGGACACAGATCATGGTTCTTTTGTGTCCTTTCTGCAATCTGGTATCTCCATAATACCTGTGAGAGAGGCCCTCAAGTGCTGGGGATTGTGGTGCTGATAACACCAGTTTCACATATTCCTTGTCCTCAAAATAGCAAAGGAGAAGTGTGTTGATACTGTGTTGAACAGTATCTGAATTTAGATTTGGAATGAATCTCATGAAACTGAATCAAAACTGGAGGTGTCCCTGATGATCCTAGTAGGGAAAAAAACTTTGGAATTAGGATTCAGCTTGTCCTGGCTTGGAATAGTGTCCCATAAAAGGGCAAGTCCATAGTCTTGTGATGTTTTTAAGCTGCCCCAAATCATCCCTGACTCTCTTTCACTCCACTGGATAGTGCAATAGGCTTTCTACTTCTAGGAATGAGTTCCAAGCATTTCAATCCACAGAAAATCATAATGACTGATCATCTGTGAGATAGTGCCCTCAGCCAGAAGACTGAAATACTGAAACGACTTTAAAAAGCCCTTCCTGATATCAAAAGTAATGAGGGACAATCTAAAAGGAAATGTTACTTAAATTTGGCCTTTGGTTTCTAAGGCAGCACTTAATCTGAAAAAAATCTCTGAATACAATTTTTATCACAACTCTTAGTTACCTTAAGACAGTGGTGGGATTCAGCTGGTTCGGCCTGGTTCGGGAAAACCAGAAGTTAAATTACTGGGTGTCCCCTCCCCTCCCTGCCCCTGACAGGAGTCCCCACGTGCCACATTTTGGCTCCCAGGTAAGTGCAGGGAGACTTCCTAGGCCCAACATGGGACATGTGTGTGTGTGTGCGGCATGCTCCCCTGCAGCCCGTTTTTGCTCCCAGGAGGCTGCAGAGAGGCCTCCTAGGCCCAAAATGGGGCATAGGGGGTGTTTCCCCCCAGGGCCTATTTTTGGTCCCAGGGGCTGTGCAGGAGGCCGAGTGCTATCTGTCACACCCCCTAGCCACGCCCACCATGGCCACATCCAGCAATCCAGTCATTAGCGCAGAGAACTGGTTGTTAAATTATTTGAATCCCATCACTGATTAAATGATCAAAACCCATTAATCAAGCTTTCTAAATGACATTTATTTATTTTGACATCAAATATTCTTTGGTATTCAGATCTGGTCTAAAAATGATAATGTAGCATTTGGGGCTGAAGATGCAGACCAGCAGACCAGCACTGGAGGCTAAAATGGAGAAGACCTGAACAGCCACCGTGTATTTCCCCTTGGTGCTCAGGTAGGCTGGCACAAAGGACACCCAGACACTGCAGAAGACCAGCATGCTGAAGGAGATCAGCTTGGCCTCGTTGAAGGCCCCTGGGAGATTCCTGGCCAGAAAAGCCACCGTGAAACAGACAGCAGACAGGAAGCCCATGTACCCAAGGGCAACATAAAACATGGAGACAGAACCTTGATTGCATTGTAGGATGATCTCTCTAGGTTGGGAGTGCACGTCAGAGTCAGGAAATGGGGGGGAAGCTCCCAACCAGATGCTGCAGATGATAACTTGGAGACCAGAACAAGAAAGGACAATGGAATTGGCCAAACTCTTCCCCAGCCATCTCTGCACTTTATTCCCTGGTTTTGTGGCCAAGAAGGCTAACACCACCGTGATCGTTTTGGCCAAGATTGAAGAAATGGCAATTGAGAAGATAATGCTGAAAGCTGTTTGTCGGAGGAGGCAGGTTATTCTCCTTGGCTGGCCAATGAATAGGAAGGAAGTCAAGATGGAAAGCAAGAGGGAGACCAGAAGGATATAGGAGAGGTCCCGGTTGTTGGCTTTGACAATTGGTGTTTCCAGGAATTTAATGAAGATCCACAAGCCAAAGCCTGTGATTAAAGAGAGGAACAAGGCAATGGCAGTCAAAATAATCCCCAGATTTTCCTTATAAGAAAGATAGCTTTTCATTTTGGGAATACATTGAACTCGACTGATATTTGGATGTTGATCTTCTGGACATTGGATACATTTGTCTGCATCTGAAAAAGAGCAAGAATAGGATCCCCCTTTAACATGTCCTTTAATCAAATGCATCCAGTTTTATTCTGATTGAAACTGTCAATTTAGTTCATCAGATTTGCCAGTTTTGTGAGTTGTCTGGATAGTGATCATAGCAAGAAGTGGGTTGTGTGACTCTTGGGTTGTGAGGAAATTTGAAACTCTAAACTGTGGCTGTAGTTCAGGGTTGGGTTCTAATTTTTTTTACTACCGGTTCTGTGAGCGTGGCTTATTTTGTGAGCGTGGCTTGATGGTCATGTGAATTCTTTAGGATTTAGCAGAGGTACTGGTCTACCAGGCTTTTAACTGCTTGCAGAGCTGTACCAGTCTACCCATTTGTTCTTGGAGCGTTCTGGTCTACTCAATTGTTTTTGGAGGCACCGGTCTACTCATTTGTTTTTTGAGGCACCAGTCTACCCATTTGTTTTTCGAGCGCACTGGTCTACCACCACACTGTCTTTTAACACTGATCAGCTGTAGGGCGGCCCTTTGAAGCCCCGTGGCAAGAGTTTAAACAGTTTTTTTCCTTCTAGCCAATCAGGTGGGACTCGGGAGGCAGCGAATAGATTGGGGGCAAGGCCAAATAAAAGGTAAGAATAATGCGGGGGCAGAGAGGGTGGGTGGTGGTGGGTGGTGGTGGAGGGGGTGGGAGGGCCCAGCTCCCGAAGAAAGAGAACCGGTTTGGTGACATCATATCATCACCACTACTGGCTTGGCTAAACCGGGCCAAACCGGGAGGAACCCACCACTGCTGTGGTTCCTACCAAACATGGATACTTGGAACAATCTGATCAATCCCCTTCCAAAGACCCAATCAAGATTCAATCAATATATACTGGGATATGAAAAAAAATCTCACTATTCAGAGCAATGAGGTAAATGGTAATATGAAACATGGAAGATGTGATGTAAAAAATGAAGAACAAGAGATGTCACCTGTCTCATAGTACTCAACTCTCACTTATCCTGTAACTTTATCCATAATTGGTAACCCAGTTTACTTGACCAGCATACCAGCATACCTCCAAGATAATTTCTTATAATTCGGTATGAAATAAATGAAATAAATGCATATTTTGATCAAAATTCAAAGGGATGGGGCCCACTCTGGCCAAGTCTTCAAAAATGCATGCTCATGGAAAATGTCAGGGTCATTCTCCTCCCAAAAAGACATTCTCCTGCCATCACCCACCTTCCACGGTGGAGATGGTTCCTTCTGCACATGGATGACAATTGTAACAGCAGATGGGCTTCCCTTCCTGAGCCACCTTCATGAATCCTGGAGGGCAGCTTTCCACACACCTGGAAGGGGGCAGGGGCTGGGCAGAGAGAGAAAGAAATAACATCCAAAGCATGATTTATTGTATTTCCTAAACAGGTAAAAAGAAAAGTTGGGGATCTCCAATTGAAGGCTTAGCTTTGCTAAATTCAAAGCCTTAAAAAAAAAAAAGTTGGAGCTCATCATACTGATTTGATTGCTTATTGCCTGTTTATCTTCTAACATTTCTCACACACAATTTTTACAGAATACAGAATAACAGAGTTGGAAGGGACTTTGGAGGTCTTCTAGTCCAGTCCAGTCCTGCTCAGGCAGAAGACTTTATACCATTCTGGACAAATGGCTGTCCAATTTCTTCTTTAAAACATCCTGTTGTGGAGAACCCACAACTTCTGGAGGCAAGCTGTTCCACTAATTAAGTGTTCTTACCGATGGGAAATTTCTCCTTAATTCTAGTTTAGATCTCTCTTTGATAAGTTTCCATCTGTTACTTCTCGTCTTGCCCTCTGTTTTGGAGATAAGGTTGACACCATCTTCTCTGTGACAGACCTTCAAATATTGGGAGACTACTATCATGTCACACACCCCTAGTCCTTTTTGTTAGACTAGACATTCCCAGTTTCCAAAACTATTGATCATACAGTCATACAGTCCCCTAATCTTCTTTGTTCCTCTTCTCTCCATTCCTTCTAGAATTTCATATTTTGTTTAGTGTACATTTTCAGTGTACATACTGTAGGTAAAGTTGGATGGATGTTCTGCTTTGGTGAAATGATTCATGTTGCCCCAAAATTTAAATCTTGCTGCCTCACAGCAAGATTTAACTGATAGACAGTTAACTGGAATAGTTAAGTGTCAGATGTAAATGCCTTATTCTCTAATGTGTAAATAGTGTACAAACAGGGTATCAGGGGTTAACTTATTCTTCACTTCTTAATGTATTCATAATTCACCACTCCCACATATAGCTCCACCCATTGCATATATAAGGAGCTACCTACACCCTTTCCCTTGCTTCTATCTGTGAATATTCAGTGAATATAGAATGCCTAATGTAAATAAAAGAATATATAGTTAAATCTTTAACTCTTGCTAATCTTATTGAGTCTGATCCTGAAAATATTGCAACAAATTGGTAGCAGAGGATGGTTAATTGACTCAATAAAAAAACTTTAAAATGTCTAAGAAAGATAGGCCCAACACCAGGGCCTACAGCAAAGAAATGGAAACGGAACAAGAAATAATCAACGAATCCACGAATGCAATTTCGAGAGAATCCGAAGAATACACCACTGAAGACGAAGAAATAATTGATGACCAGGAGGAAATCGAAATAGAAAATAACGAACTCAGGTCAGAGATATTAAAACTATTAAAAAGCCAGAAGAATGATGAAAGTCTCATCGCGAACCTCCAAGATATGCTGAAGAACAGCAGAGCAGCGAGAGAGAAAAACATCACCAATGAAAAACCTAAAGATCCAAAAATAGTGAGTGATATGACTGCGGAGAAAATCATTACAAAGAAGAAAAACGATGATCCCGCGCGAAAATTTGAATGGCGGCCATCTTGGTTTCAACCGGCCTCCAAGATGAACGAAGCAGAACCAATCAGCAAGCTCAATTCAAAATTTCTGGCGCGAAAAATGTTATCAGACAACGAAAACGAAAAAGAAGATTCAAACACCTCAGAAGAATCAGAACCAGAAAGTGAGGAAGATCCAACAAAACACCAAATAAAATCAGCGATGAAAACGCTCTTTGCTGCATTTGGGCCAAAACTGAAAATTACTAAAAAGATGCCGAAAAAGCGAGCGAGCAAGCCAATGCCTCAAGACCTGCCCGCTCCCATCCTGACTACTAGAGCGCTGACGCCAGAACCCAGAGAGCCCTGCCGATACCGCCCTACGCCGCAGACCGAAGCAAGCACCAACGCTCTCAATAGAAGAGGAAGAACAGCCACCGTCGTCAGAACCCCCAAAGTCGAACCAGAGACCGACTCGTCTGAAGAAGAGCAGAGCGAGCAAGCCGCAATGAGGAGAACCTTCCACGACGACGCCGAAGAAGAAATGAGCAACGCGCATGCGCGAAACTACGCTGACGATCCGGGAAGACATGAACTGGAGAGAAGATCATGCAGACTCGTAGCGAGCATCCCCACGCCGTTTTGCAATTTTCTGCATTTACGAGACCACGGACTACCTCAGGTTGTAAGTAATGGACCCAATAATGTCGGAAATTTACCCAGTGACTTCCCAAAACTAAGGGTTGATGGCATTAATTTACAAGAATGGTATCAACAGCTCCAGGTTGTCTTTATGAAGGAAAACTTACTGTTTTTTATCACTAGTCCCCCAAAAAGACCTTGGACACTAAAAATAGATTGTTTACACCATAGAGCTTTTTTCTTAATAATATCTAGTGTGTCTCCTGCAATGTATCACAGCATTAAGCCAAATTTGACTGTTTCAGAAATTATTCAATGCATGTTTAATTTGTTTCACAGTGACAGTGTAGCTACCACCACAAGGATATCTAAAGACTTCTTTTCATCTAGGATAAAACCAGGGGTTTCCATAAGTGAACATTTAATATCTTTGAACAAAATAAGAGCTGAACTGCATTTGAGGGGGGAGGTGATTTCAGACCAAACAATGAAAAGTGTTATTATCAACTCACTTGATCCATCATGGGACAATTTTATGTCACACTTAGACACAATCAATCTAGGATATTTATCCATAGAAAGTCTATCTAACAAATTGATAACAGAAGATAATTCTAGAAGGAATCGTTCTAACAATCACACAGAACATAAACCATATAGGAAAGTAGCTTTCCAAGAAAAATATAGTGGAACATTTAAATGTCATAATTGTGGATCCAGGGAACACAATAGAAGAGATTGCCCAAAATTCTTAAAAGAAAGATATAGATCAGAATACAGAAACAAATACGATTATAGACAGCCTTCCATAGAAAGGCATAGATATAGGAGCCCACCAAATCACAGAGAGAATAGAGGGGGCAGAGACAATTCAAAGGATAGAAAGTCTGGTTCACTGAATGGATTAAATAAACAAGACAACACTAACACACAACAAAGTGAGAACAATAATTGGCTTATTGATTCTGGAGCAACTAATCACACCACTAATAACAAAAGTATATTGTCTTCATTTGCAGAAGATAAATTTGTAATTAAGGTAGCTAACCAAGAAAAAGTTCAAGTATTAGGTAGAGGAAATGTAACCTTGACTGGTCTAGGAAAAATAGAGGGGGTATTACTAATACCTGAAATACCTCATAACATATTAAGTGCCATAAAACTAAGCAGAGATTCTGACATTAACATTGTCTTTTCAAAAGGAAAGGCAACTTTGGAAAAGAATAAAATAAATGTAGGCACTGTGGTGACTAAAGGAGGCCTACCTTATCTGATAACAAAAGAAAAATGGTTACATAACATTGATTCAAATATGGAAGATTGTATTGAAATAGATGATGAGAATGTTAGCAACAGTGACAATGATGAATGTAAAATATCTCATGATCACACAGATGCACACAACGATAAGAAGCCAAAGATAGGTAAACCAATTCATAATGAGTGTGCTCACATATTGCATAGGAAGTTAGGACATGCCAGTTTTCCTGTAGTGCAAAAAATGACTGAACACGCAGAAGGTGTTAAAATAAAAAATTGTGAAAATTATCTGGAATGCTCAGTATGTAAATCTACAAAACTAAAAACTAGTCCCAGGCCAAGGAAATCTACCAGATCAACTAACAAAATTTTTGATTTAGTGCACATGGACTTAGTTGGTCCATTAACTCCATCAATCACTTATAGAAAACGTTACTTCCTGACAATAGTGGACGATTATAGCCGCTATGGATTTGTTTATACATTAAAACACAAAGATGAAACATTTCAAAAATTTAAAGAATTTTACAAACGCATAGAAACACAACACAACATCAAAATAAAACAAATTAACAAACAAAGACAGACACACTAACAAAAAAGGAAGCAAGATATTTGCATGATAACGATAGTAAACCCGAAAAAATCATTAGAAACACCAGAAATCAAATGCCAAATAAATACAAGGATTATATAATGCACATGGATGGTGAACCAACAACACCCAATACATACGAGGAAGTGTTAAAACTTCCTCACGAAGAAAAAGAAAAATGGGAATTAGCAATGAAGAAAGAGATGGAAAGTTTACAAAGATTAAATGTATTTACACCTGCAATTGCACCTAAAGATAAGACAATTATTGGTACCAGGTGGATATATAAAATTAAGAATTTAGAGGGAGGAAATACTCTATACAAAGCTAGATTAGTTGCACAGGGTTATGCACAGAAATATCCGGAGGACTATACTGACACGTATTCCCCCACTGTAAGAACAGAGAGTGTCAAAACAGCTCTAGTGGTAGCATCAGCACTCAATCTTGATGTATTCCAATATGACATACAGACTGGGTACCTACACGCAAAATTAGATAAAGAAATATACGTGAGAGCACCTCATAGTCAATACACAAACAGAAATGAGACTTGGTTGTTAAACAAGAGTTTATACGGGCTAAAACAATCTGGTAAACGGTGGTATGATTGTTTAGTAAAAGTACTTAAGACCATGGACTTCAACGCTACCACTGCTGATAATTGTTTCTTTGTCAAGAGGGGTGATGATTGCATTGAATTTGTATTGATTTATGTGGATGACATTTTATACATAGGAAAACATAAAGAGAGAAGAGAAACTTTTGTAACCAAATTAAATGAGCATTTCTCATTGAAATCTTTAGGCAAGGTAAACAAATACCTTGGCGTCCAAATTAATAAGACAAAAAGGGGATTCAAACTTACCCAGAGAGATAAGATCATAGAACTTTTAAATAAATGCAACTTAAACAATGCCAAACCTTGTGATACTCCTATGCAAACTGACTTTCTAAGAAATTCTGATGAATCTTCTCCCGAGTTCAAGGACAATACATTCTATAGATCAATCATAGGTTCACTCCTTTACATATCTAATTGGACTAGACCAGATATCGCTTTACCACTCAATTTATTATCTAGGCATGTCAGCAAACCAACAATGTATCACTGGGAAGCTGTTAAAAGAATTTTAAGATATCTAAAAAGTACACTAGACTTTTGTTTAATGTTAGAGCCTAATGATATTAAAGAACCAAAGCTCACGTGTTATGCAGATGCAGATTGGGCTGGAGACACCTCATGCAGAAAAAGTACATCTGGTTATGTATTTCTCTTAAATGACTGTCCAGTTTACTGGTACACTGGTAAACAAGAACTAGTGGCCACTTCAACGACAGAAGCGGAATATGTTTGTTTATCCAAAGCCGCAAATAACCTTGTATGGTTTAATGATTTAATTTCAGATGTCTGGAAAAAACCTGCTCTGCCCTTTGTTATGCATGAAGACAATAAAGCAGCCATTGAAATATCTAGATCTGATGCCATTGGACAAAGGTCCAGACATATAGATATAAAATTTAAACATGTGAGACAATTATCTCAGGATGGATTTATTAAAGCAGTGCATTGTGACACTTCAGAACAATTAGCTGATATATTGACAAAGCCTTTACCTTCTAAGCAGCATAAATATTTAACCTCTAAGTTGTATGTTTTGTATTGTCCTGAATCTGAGTGTAACTGGTGTTGTATAACGAATCGGCATTTAGAGGGGGATTTGTCAGATGTAAATGCCTTATTCTCTAATGTGTAAATAGTGTACAAACAGGGTATCAGGGGTTAACTTATTCTTCACTTCTTAATGTATTCATAATTCACCACTCCCACATATAGCTCCACCCATTGTATATATAAGGAGCTACCTACACCCTTTCCCTTGCTTCTATCTGTGAATATTCAGTGAATATAGAATGCCTAATGTAAATAAAAGAATATATAGTTAAATCTTTAACTCTTGCTAATCTTATTGAGTCTGATCCTGAAAATATTGCAACATTAAGGATATTTTTCTGAGACACCTGAACATGTAACCAATGAATATGTCTCCTCTCAGAGAACTGAGATGAAATCCTTGTCCCAACTCTGCAATCCTCTTGGTAAAACCTTCAGGAAGGATAGATTAAATTCTGTAGTGGTTTAGGGTTTTCTGCCTAAGCAGGGGGCTAGATTAGAAGACCTCCAATGTCCCTTCAAACTCTGGTATTCTGTTCTCTTTTGTCTTTTCCCCACCTTGTTCAGCATTTCCATCTTTGCAGTAGCATTCAGGTTCATCATCAACGTGAAATCCAAGGATCCCTGTCTTTCTAGACTCCCAATGGTCACTCTGCTGACAGACATATTGGAGAATATTATCCAGTTCACAATGTCCAGGTCTGCTATCAGCAATCCATTCTCATTCAAATATACCCCATCAATACAATTATTATAAAACTGAGAGGTTCGAAGGAAAGGATGAAGCTGGAATGGAAGAGAAAATGGGCAGTGTTACATTAGACACAGAAAGCTCTCTGGCAAGACTCCTTCATTTCAGCTGGAACAAGGATCTGTACACTGAGGAATGAAACATGAAAAGGATGGTGAACAGAGGCACTTTACCTCTTCCCTTTAATAATTGTCACGGCAGACTTGGAAAACCAACTGTTGAGCTGATGATGTCCAAAATTAAAAACTCTGAAGGAGATGGATATGCACAAGCACACTGAAGGAATTTTGCCAAGGAAGCCAAAATTAAATCAAATCTCCCACACAGAAACAATCTTGTTAACATTGGGGAATGTTAACAGGATCCCCTGTACATTGGGAAAACAAAACAACCACTTCATAAATGAATGGCACAACATAGGAGAACAAACCCAACAGGACAAGATTCAACAATCCATCTGTATTTAAAAGACAAAGGCCAGTCTTTTGAAGAAAGCAAAATCCACATTTTGAACAGAGAGGACGCTGGTTTGAAAAAGGGGTCAAAAAGGCCATCTATGTCAAAATTGAACATCCCTCTCTCAACAGAGGGGGAGGGATATGACACCATCTATCTGCAGTCTACAACACAGTCCTTTCAGCTGTTCCAAGAAGGCTCCATACCCATTTGCACTACTCAAGACCCTGAGGACACAGGTAAACCTCCAAGTGGCCTCAACGATTCTCTAAAATAATGCAAAAGACTAACTGTATGCAAAGAATATAAATCCTTCCATTGTCACCATCCAGTCAGAGCTGAAGAAGCTTCTTGGATGAGAAGTGGAACATCTTCAAAGAAAAACAAGAAAGTTCAGTTGCCTCTTGAAAAAGCATCTTTGGGACTAGTGTTAGTCGGCTTAATATGCACAGCACACTTTTTTAGACTCTGGGGGGCACAGTAATGCTCCTGTGAATTGAATTTAGAATTGAATTTAATTTTTATTTTCAAAATAAATTATTACTAGCCATCAGAATCACTACACGCTTCTTACAATTATAAAAATTGATTCTCAACTGCAATGGAGAGATATGTGATAGAAAAGAAATACCTGCCATGCTTTCAGCATTTGATTTTTCATGTTTTGACGCCCTTTATATGTTGTCCTCCTGGATCTGGATAAATAAGCGGCATTTATGGCTCGTGCCACAGCCCAGATTGTGTTGTAAATGAAATAGCTGTTCAGAGCCAGAACAGGATCTGTCTCCACTTTTCTCAGTACGTCCAGTTCTTCTCTCTCTTTGCATCGTCTCCAGATTTTTACCGAAAAAGCATCCTTGGTGTAAGAACACAGGAAGGAGTTCTTTGCAAAAATTTCCATGGTGGAATCCGACTGCAGATATCCATCATTCTTTATCATTTGATTTTTCTTCATAAGAAAGGAAAAGATGCTATGGATGCCTTCAGTGGGAAAGTAATCACCTGCCCAGTAAATACCAGTTGTGAAGTCCCAACGGGTTGTGGTGATCAGGATTTTTCCTCTAAGAGGTTCAACAAGGCTATCAAATATATGATGCATAATTAAAAACCCTATATTGAATGTATTCATGTCTGCGCCATAAATAAAGACCTTCACTTTCTTCCAATTTTTGTATAGATTCAAGTCTACGAATAGTTTTTGAAGATCTGGGGGGAAGGATTGTGATAAAACTGGGCAAATGCCATTCTTTATCAGCATGGAAGACAATGTCTTCATGAACCTTTGTCCATTCTCACTGTCTGGAGCAAGGAGACCCACCAAGGTCCACCTGAAATAGAGGACCAGCTTCACCATCCCTGGATACTGGACTCCTTCAGCAGGGAGCATTGGGTAGAAGAAAGGAAGCTGAGCTTTATCACTCAGAATCTGGGAAATAAAACTATGACTGATCTGAAAAGGAAAGAAAGGAAACTCTATAAACCCATAAAACCAAACATCTAGCCCTAATAAAGGAACTGTCCACTTTTGTAGGAAGTCTCTGGCCATTTTACGTTTATATTGCTTCTCTTCTCACTTCAGTGTAGCATTTTGTTCTTGCCAATGGCCAGTAGACATGCAAAATCTGCAGTAAGAGTGCCATGCAGGGGATTCTTCTCTACTCAAATTCTTGTCTCCCATTCGATGGAACCTTCATCCTTACTTTACACAATTCCTATACTAGAACTTTGCTCTTCATTGATAACAGAAGATGTAAAAGAGCCTGAAAGTTGCATGACTAAAAATTCATCTTCTCAGCAAAGACACACCTGAGGGATTTTGTGGGTGCCTAATATGGTTGACATCTGGATGGAGATGTCAGTATCAGCCTCTTCAAGAACAGCCACTGTGTTTCTTTGCCTTCCACAGCTGTAGTTGGGAACATTGACCTCCCCCTCCGAAAGCAGGTCCAGCAAAGCCTCTGAAGTCATTTGTGCACTGAAATAATTGTCATAGATGTTGTAACCCAGGGTGACATTGAACGAAATGTTGGGATTCTGGTTGATTTCTTGGATGGTGATAAGGAAGGACAGCAATTTCCAGTGCTCTGTTGGTGCTCTCCTGAAAGCGATGAATTTATTGCAACGTAATCAGTGGAAATAACATTTAATTAACCCTTTTGAACAATAACATTTTAATCCACCCAAGACTAAGACATTTAAGAGCATTTCATTATATATTTGAATGGATTATTTCCAAAAAATGACTCTGGTATTTGAATGGAACAATGGGAGTCTTTCAACATATTTTATTTTAAGATGATGAATGCATCTTATGTCTGAAGTAATCTAGTGATTATTAACTTTGGTTTATTTTTCTTTGATATTTCATAAGAAATTTATGTAGAATAAAAGTTGAACTCTAAGAAGAAAAGCAAAGGAAGGAATAAAAAAATATCTTGTTGCATTTATCATATACAAAATCTCTCTTTTCTAATTCATTGTTCAGAGATCCCAACTGAGTTTCACACATGTATGGAAAGTCAGTTGTGACCTGGGATTCTTTCTTTTACTTAGTGAATTCTGGTTCAGAATAAAAATTATGGAGAAAAAAATTATATTACTGCAGAGAAAAATTACTGCATTTTTGTACCCACGTTGACCCCTTGATGAAGCAAGGAAGAGATGAGAACAGCCATCATCTCTTCTCCATCCACAGTCCAGCTGTGTTTCACAGTCAAAAAAAAAAAAAAAGATCTAATGATTTACTTGAGAATTTCAACTCAGGCATTTCAAATCTGTCTGGAACCCGCACTGCATATTGGACATTAATACAATCAAACGAGTCCAGAGATATTTCATGAGAAGTGTCTTCCACTCCTCTGCTCGCAACAGAATACCTTATGCCAATAATTGGGTTTAGACAACTTAGAACTTCACCGTCTTCGGTCTGACCTAAGCTTAGTACATAAAATCATCCGCTACAATGTCCTACCTGTCAATGACTATTTCAGCTTCAACCAAAACAATACAAGAGCACACAATAGATACAAACTGATGGTAAACCAATCCAAACTCAATTGCAGAAAATACAATTTTAGAAACAGAGTTGTCAATGCCCTGGAATGCACTACCTGACTCTGTGGTTTCTTCCCCAAACCCCCAATATTTTAACCTTAGACTGTCTACTGTAGACCTCACCTCGTTGCTAAGAGGTCTTTAAGGGAGATGCATAAGCGCACCAGTGTCTCTACCATCCCTGTCCTAATCTTTCCTTTATTTGTATCCATTTCATGTATTTGTAATCATGTTTCTACTTGTATCTGTTATCAAATACATGCTGGATAAAATACATAAATAAATACAAAAAAATATGAATAAATAAATATCAGAGTGAAAATTGATTCCCCAAGGACAAAATGAGACAGAAAGAGAGAAAAGTTCATAGATCAACGGGATCATTCATTGTAAGAGAGGAGGCTGAAACTTGAGAAATCAGAGAGGAACAGAGTGGCTCTCATGCAATGCGTGAAATTTGTCTTACGGAAATAATTCCATTAAAGGAGATTTATTGAAGAGATGGTATTCAAAGTCAGCCTTTGTTGCAGAGACTATGCCACAAATGAGCAATTCTCCTGGCTTGTAATGGTTTCCTGCGTCCACCTCATTCTTCCTCAGAGTCTGAGGACATTTGGGTTTGAGACCCACCAAGACTGCCTGGGGCAGCAGAAGCAGCAACATGACTTGTGTTACTGATGGTGTCTCCAGCTTTGCATCTGTTTTGAAGAAATAATGGCATGAAGAGGTGGGGGAAACCAAAACCTTCTTCCAAGAGAGAACTTCGGGGGTTTCTTAATCCAGAGTCAAGCCAAGGCTTCACATCTGAAGGGTAGGAGAACAAATGCAGAACCTGCCTCTCCTTAAAGCCTCCCCACGTGTTCTCTTTCTCCAGAGCCATTTCTGCCCCCAAGGTGTCCCAATGCAAAGATGTTCGCCAACAAGGCTTTGATGTGATATCAAGCTGAAAATATGTTATGGCTGAATTTGTGTGAGACATCCACAAGTTTTCCGAAATGTCTTTAGGGATTTAGCATCAAAACAACACCTAAAACACTATGATTTGGATAATGGCACTAAGGAGAGCCATCAACTCTCTAAACTCTGAGTGAGTCAACAGGCAGGTGCCCAATGAGAGGAGACGTCTACAGAGGTCCACAACAGAGGGTCAGAATGCCAAAAAGAACATGGAGCTTTTGCCCATCCATTTTGTATGTGAGTTGGAGGCTTGAGGCAGTTCTGCATGTGCTTCTACAATTTATTTATTTATTTATTTATTTATTTATTTATTTATTTATTTATTTATTTATTTATTTATTTTATTTTATTTTTGTCAAGCATGTATGAGAAAATAAGTATAAATATAAACATAACATTTAAACATATAAGTATAAACAGGTATAAGTATAAACATAAGAAATGAGTATGAATAAATGGAAACAGTAGGACAGGGATGGTAGGCATTCTGGTGCGCTTATCCACGCCCCTTACAACCTTTTAGGAATGGGGTGAGGTCAACAGCAGACAGTCTAAGGTTAAAGCTATGGGTGTTTGAGGATGTAACAACAGAGTCAGGTAATGCATTCCAGGCATTGACCACTCTGTTACTCAAGTTGTATTTTCTGCAATCCAGTTTGGAGCGGTTTACTATAGGTTTGTATCTATTGTTTGCCTGCGTATTATTGCAGTTGGAACTAAAGTAGTTATTGACAGGGGCAGGGTGGGGCAGGGTGGGGCAGGGTGGAGCCAGTCAGCAATTTAACTATACCAGTTCGCCCGAACTAGCCTGAACCAGCTGAATCCCACCACTGACTTATTCATAGCTGAAAGGAAGACTATGCACTTGGTATCTTAACTCAGCAATATAGGAGTTCAGAAATAAGTGATTTACTACCTGTAAGATCTTGCTGCTGCATGATGTCACTTGGCATGTTTACATCTTATGACCTGCAACTTCTCCAGAATCCAAATATAACAATTTCCTCTTAAAACTTCAGCTGAATTTTTCCGGCCTCCCATAATAGAGCATCAACAACTGTTTGTCTTTGGCTTTGCCTGTGCCTTCTCTGTCAAATTAAGCCATGCATCCCCAATCTGCAAGGGTTCCTCAGTGGAAGTGGAAGTTTTTTTTTCCAGCAATAAACGTGGTCTGAGATGTTGCAGGAATGGCAACAGGTTTGTTACTGTAAGTTCTGACCTTGTGGTGTTATAGCTGCCAATGTATCCGCAAGAAGAACTGAATTAATTCTTGCCTTGTGCACAGACATTGTAGTTTCTGATAACTTGTGAAGAATCTCATCTACCAACCCTTCCTAAAATTGGTCATTCAGGGCAACTTCATTCTACAAAGTGTGTTTTTGAAGGAAGAACTTGGAAAGGGATAGAATAGAATAGAATAGAATAGAATAGAATAGAATAGAATAGAATAGAATAGAATAGAATAACAGATTTGGAAGGGACCTTGGAGGTTTTCTTGTCCAACCCCCTGCTTAGGCAGGAAACCGTATAGCATTTCAGACTAATGGTTGTCCAATCTTTTCTTAAAAACTTCCAGTGTTGGAGTATTTGCAACTTTTGGAGGTAAGTTGTTCCATTTATTAAATTGTTCTGTCAGGAAATTTCTCCTTGTAAAGTTAGTCCATGGTTCAAGAGCAGGATCAGGGTTTAAAATTCAAGAGTGAAATTCATACACAGGGATCACATCTGAGCATTAAATGTCATTTCCAGCAAAGAAAAGAGAGGGAACCCACAGCCTCTTCTACCAACTGTCACTCCTCGGAATGTGGCTGCAGCCAACTGTCGCTGATCGGAATCTTGACTCTGTTGCTAGGCAACTAACCTAATAAACCTCCCTTCTCTTTTCCTTCCTCCTGGGCCATGTCAAGTCAACACCTCAAGAGCCCAAAGGGGGGAAAACATAGAGGGAAAATGGCAACCTTGTCTTGTTCGCTTCTGGATATCCCTTGGTTTAATTAGATCACCATTAAACATCATTCTGAAATGTAGATATTGATTTCATTCCTTCAATAAAATTATCTCCAAAGTCCCTACCTTCAGACCCTAATTTGAAATTTCTCAAAAGCTTTCTCTGCGTCTAAGAAGATTAACACAGCTTGTTTTTCATTACATTGTGTGTAAATATTCTATTTCATCCACTACAATTCTTGCCTTG